TTGCATATGCTTATCACTGCATATATGTATCAAATGAATTATTTAAGTATTTTATAAATATAAGAGAACACACCATACTACATTATAGAAATATATACGTAATTTATTTTAGTTTAAACGCGACACACACGTCCGGTGCTCACTTGGTTTTAGGGTCCACTGAAAATCAGCGTCACAGCCTTGTCCCGGCGGTGACATTAGCTGAGTGGATCCTATTACATACGCCACAACCGCACACATAACACCTACTTAGTACAGCAATAGTGTTGACCAGCTTTGTGGTCGCATAATTATTTATTGCCAAGATTTTATTTTTAATTAATTTTATTTAGTTTTCTTTTTTGTTATTCATTTTCTGTTTGTTTTAATTTAGTTTGTTTTAGTTTTAATTTAGTTCTGTTTTATTTTAATTTTTTTTTTCACTTTTAATTGTTTACTGTTTATTATTGTGTTGTGGTGTTATGTAATAAATGTATTCTATTCTATTCTATTCTATTCTATAAAATACAAAAATATTTGAAGACATCTTACGGTAATAAGACAAATAACATTCGTAATCAATTCGCACCCCTCATGGAAGAATGGCATAAGTGGAGTTACCTCGAAAACGTTTATTGCTCCATTAGATACAGAAAAATATAACACACATTCTCTCCAATTCTTGTAACTCTATCTACAATATTAGTCGATAGAGTTACAAGAATTGGAGAGGATGCGAATGTGTATTGTATTTATTGAGATTATTTTAAAATAACTCCACTAGTTTTGTAGGTAATGATTATGACTACGAGGATCGAACATTCAGAAAAAAATTTCGTCGACCCGGTGGTACTTGAACCCACGTCCATGCTGCACCGTAGCATTGCTCTTGCTAACTGAGCCACGGGTCTAGTTACCGAGTCGACAAAATTCTCCTGTGTTTTTGTTATAGATCTTTGTACAGTACAATAGCTTTGTTATGATACAAAGATCGAACACACAGAAAAAGCAAGAGCACGGACGTAGTTCAAGTCCCACCAGGTCGACGAATGTTTTTTTTTTTGTGTTTTTGATTTTTATATTCATAATCATAACAATTGTCTATTAAATATGATAAAAGAAAAATTCCTTCGACTCGACAGGACTCTAACCGGCGACCAGGGGATGCCGTCCCTTTGCTCTTTCCAACTGAGCTACAGATCGTGTCAGCAGGTCGACGAAATTCTTCTATGTGTCTATTATACACTTTTCTATTGAATTTTATCAGTTTTCGATGCCGTATTATTTTTCTTTGCTTTCGATCTTTGTAATTATTAATAATTATAACAAACTCCACGTGTTTTTCACAAAAAAAAAGAATACAATTGTTTATAGGTTATTATTGTACACCTATGATGATGACTTTTCCTTTCTAAGCCAAAGCCTTACACCATCTCCTCATCTTGGATACGTGTGCAAATTGTAATAATAGAAATTGTGATACTGTAATGCCGGTGGAGGCAAGGAAGCAAAAATCGCCGTAGTTACAAGTACAAGTAAGGTTTATTCTTGCAAGTTTTTATGTCGCGGTATCAACAAATACACTTCAGTTAGGCTGCTATTCTATAGTAATAAGATTACTTCATATTCCTAGCCTCGCTTAGCGCAGCTTCGGTGGAAAAAGGTTTGCGGAACTAACTATTACAACAAAATAGCGAGAGACGTGTGCAAGGAATGTGTGCGAAGGATGCGGGCAAGGAATGTGTGCAAAACGGTGTAGGAAACTAGAGCTACTGAAAGTATGATACTAACTGACAAAGACACATCACCACCGCTTACCCCACCACACCGTACCCCGCCCGCGTATAGCTGATAAGAGTCCGTAACGCATCCTCGCACCGCCTCTCTACCTCGCACATTTCTGGTGGAAAGGCAACCTAAACGTCTCACGGGGTGGAAGCGTTCACCGTGCAAATAAGGATATTAGGGATTTCCGTCACCTGTCCCGCAGTGATGAAAGCAATGGTTTGCCACTCTAGTTGCCTTATCTTATATTGCAGTTGGTCGGTGATAGCCTTGACTGCGAAAGGGTGAGCTAAAGGCTTTTAACTCATTAAAATTATCGTTTTAACAAAACACCTCAACAGTCTTATATTATGGTAGTGATCACTTCGATAGCACGTTTCAGGATACATGTAGTGCCATCTATTGGTGGCATGTCGCACTAAACTGCAGTATTAGCGTTAGAATATTCGTTTTCTACACTACGCGTGTACATCGACCCTTACCGTTGTCCGCTGTGACGGTGAAGGTTTAATCCAACAAGTTGACTAAAAACTGCAATTAACTTCTAAAAGCTCTTAGAAACTTACTATAGGAAGTTCTAAGTTACATCAAGATGCCAAAGTAACTAGTTGAAACTTGATATCGTAGTAGGTTAAAGTCGTATATACCAGAATGCTTTATCAAGTATAGTCAGGAGGACATCAAATTTGACCATTGGACTTTGGACCGTACTTATCGCATACGGCATAGAGATGAATTTCTGTCTCAAATGACAAGCTTGACGTTCTACAGACCCTAAACAAACACGTACAGTCAAAAGTATGGTCTGTTTGTACAATACAGGCAGTCGTGTTTGTCCAAAAGAAAGTCGCTCTTATTTTAAATTTCTATCCGTCTAGTTACTCTTGTCTTTGTGACCCGTCAGTCCACTCTGGCCACTCATAAAGGCTGGATGCGACACTCAAGAGAATAATTATTAATACAAAGATCGAACACAAACGAAAATTTGCGCCTTGTATGACGCCATTTAACCAGCAGACCTTACACATTTTTCTATGTGCTTGTTGCACATCTTTGTTTTTGGTTTAACGATTTTTTTGCCGTAGCGCCATCTGTGACAAAATTATGAAAGTTTTTCTTCACTCAGCCAGGTACCTTTACAGCTATCAGCTGCTGATTAGAGATGTCGCTTTAACAATTGTAGTTTATATCATTACCTAATTTTTAGTAGCAGTAGAGCTCCTTGTACAAGAATGACAAACTGGACGAACCTGGACGAACGCTTTCACAAGAACCTCTAGTTCTATAATAATGTAAATATGTTTTTTTTCCTTAAATATTGTAAATTACGCCCGTTCATGACAAAAATGATGATATAAGTCAAATTAAAATAATATTTTTCTACAAACAGGCAGCTGCTGCAAATGTAAAAGGAAAATCTTCGAAACGGCAACATTTTTGCAAAATTTATATAGCTTTCTTCGACTGGAAGTTAGCCAGTACTTCGATTTCTACTTTTAAATTGTTGTGGAAGTTTCGAACACAGATTGTACTGAGCAAGATTTTCAGTTCGCTAATGATTAGCTAAGTTTTGCTTCAGAGAATTCTCGAGAACTTTCTTGTGTCTTCTAAAAGTTTTGTGAGTTTCGGTTTTTATTTTTAGTATCGTATTTTACTTAGAGAAAATATCTAATCTGTCCATTTAATCAGTACTTTTTGAAATACAAATTAACCAATCGGTATCCCCAATTCCATTATCAGTAGAAAACTATAGAATTGAATGAATTAAATTGAATTATTTGTCGTAATAAGAGAGCGATGGTAGCTCAGTGGGAGAATGGTTTCTTCTCAATTGGAAAATCGAACCTTAGTGAATCCACGTACACATAGGTGTACTTTTATTTCTTAGTTATGTACATGTGCAAATGTTTAGTAGCAATAACTTCTCGATAACGGTGGAGAAGGAAAGAAGGTCCAGAATATTTGGAATACGTGTGATATGGACTAAATAAGACTAAACCTTCTTAAAATTCATACACTGACGTCACAGTACACTTACGAAAATGTTATTATATTATGACAAGCACAACATTAATACGAGGAATAAAAATAAAGTAACTGTTCTTGACAGTCGTGTTCATAAAGTCTCAAATTCATTTACGAGGCAATGTATACGCTTTTATATTATGATTCCAATTGATGACTGTGAAACAAAAACTTTATACTAAAGATTATTATACAGATTCTGCGTGCTTGGATGTCAAAAATCCATGGTAGTGATCAGTTTATCCATTGCAAGTAGTCTCGATCTAAGATGTTTAAATTAAATATTGTAATAATAAATGTATTCAAATGTATGTTTACAAAGAGCAATCCCTAGAGTCTCTTGCTCATTCTTCTTAATGCGAATTTGCCTTACGAATGAGCAATAATAGTCAACCTCAGATGTGACGACACCATAAAAACCGGTGGTCACTCGACCACGGAAATCATCATCATACATAATACGTATACGCGTTTTGTCTCAGTGTAATACATATACGCATTGATTAACAACAATGTGTCCCATTGTTTTGCCGTACACATTAGGAAGGGCGAAGCAAATAGCCTCGTGCAAATGGATAGCAAATCAATATCACGAGGATAGAATGTTCCGGACTTACAGTTACTTCAGCTGTTCTTCCGGTCACAAAATTAATGCTTTGATGTTAGTTAAATCGACCCAAATACGAAATGAGATTTCCAGCAGTTTGTTAGCAAAAGACGAATCTTGTAATTAACACCCAATATTTATTACCCCGCCAATTAAACCTCATCTCCCCCGACTCTGATCAACGCATAAAGAGACAAAACACACGATACTGTGAAACGTTACGAGTGCACAAGTTAACAAAACTCTAAATGAAGAAGCAGTGAAAGTCCTTCAATCAATTTGTACGGGACGGCCGCTTGTAATAAATTAAAATAGTTTTAAGTACATACTTATCATATAGGTGTAACTTACTAGTTTCATAATTAAATATATTTTTGGTTCGGACTTTTACTTCGCAACTAGTAATTAAGTACAATAGATAGTAAATAGAAATAAAAGGCAAGCTTATTTTAGGAAAAGATTTCCTCAACAGAATATGTAGATATAAAGTGTTAAATAAAACCGCGGCTCTCGTCACGGTATTGCTGAGGTCTAGCTGAGCCGCCCGGCTCTCGTTAAGGTATTGCTCGAGCCCACCTCATAGCTTCGTATGCGGCCGTGCCCCCCCGCGCCTCCCCGCGCTTCGACCCCGCAAACGCTGCGAAAAGGATAAAAGGCGCGCGCGACACGGCCAACGCGTTCACTCCAGCGCCGAGCTCGCCCGCAACAGCAACAAATAAACAGAAGACTCCGGCCCGCATTCAGTCCAGCGCCAGCCCGCAACAGCGACTATAGAAAAGACCTCAACAGTACCGTACAAAGCTGCAATACGGCTGTAACCAGCATTTTTATTTCGACCCTCACCGTCTCGGAGCGTAAAGAACCACTAGCTCAGTGGCGGTACGAATCCCGTGCCGTACATTGAACTGGTCCTTCGAGCCGGATAGTACATAGACGCTCCTAGACGGAAACAACACAGCACGAAGATGCCCATTACACGCCGTATGCGTGCAACTGTTACGGAACAGCCCAACGAGAACGCTGGACCATCGATAGCCACAGAAAAGGGAGTTTCGTCGGGCACCAATAGCTCCGCGACTACAGCAGTCACTGCAACCGAAGTGATGAACACCACCGAGTCAACGGGCCTTCCACTGACGGCGCCCCGAGACAACGACCGTACTACAGCGGCGGGAGAACGCAACACAGAAACTAGTCTCCACGCACCTACAGTATTGGGAGGCGCCCGCTTACCGCCTCCACCCGCATCTACCACCACGAAGAAATCATCGCGCAGCGCTCGTATAGCGAAAGAGCGCGAAAAACTCTTGCACCTTCAAGTCCAACTCGCCGCAGCGCGTATAGCGCGTATAGAAACTGAAGACTCTGATACTGACGAAGACATAGCAGAATCAGAACCGCAGCGACGAGTATCAGAATGGCTCGACGACAAGCACGCGTGTTTTGCCTGCGATGTGGAAACACGAGAGAAGACTGGTCCACTTACACAGCTGCGTCCATCGCTACAACAGAAGCATGAACAATATTGGCCTACCGCCCCTCACCCCGCTCCAACGACACGTATAGTACAGAAGAACGAAGATATTCCACACGAACAGAAGATCGCAGTGAAAACAGAAGCAATTACTGTCATCGAACTAGCGAAAGCAATCGCTATCGCCGGGCGAGGAAGGCAGCATTCCATAGAACTTCCAATCTACAGTGGATCTCATGTGGAATGGTTGTCATTCAAGGCGGCCTACGACGAAACAGCCTCATCATACAGCGAAGTAGAAAATATAGCCCGTCTTAGAAGAAGCCTACGTGGAAACGCAAAGGAAGCGGTCGAGAAACTTCTAATCTACAGCGCCAACACGACGGACATCATGAAGACACTAGAATTCCGCTTCGGCCGCCCAGACGCCATAGCACTCGCCGAGCTGGAGCAGCTGCGCGCCCTCGCGCGCCCTACAGACTCACCGAAAGACATCTGCATCTTCGCTACTAAGGTTGGCAACATAGTAGCAACGCTCCGCGCCCTACGAATACAGTACTACCTCTACAACCCAGAAGTAACGAAGACTACAATAGAGAAGCTTACACCATCGATGCGCTACAGATGGTACGACTTCGCCGCCGAGCAACCGACCGAAGAAGCAGACCTACTAAAGCTCACACGCTTTCTAGACAGAGAAGCAATACGTTGCGGACCCTACGCCCAGCCAGAGGGCGCTTCCGCAGCCACAGCCAACTTCACACAGCCGCAGAGATTTACGACAGGCGGACGAAAACCAGTACAGAAAATATACACAACTACCGAACAGTCAACGTGCACGCTCTGCAACAGTACGGAACACGAAGCCGCATCCTGTTCACGATTTTTAGAAGCAGACAGTGACGAACGATGGAACATAGCTAAAGCAAAAAACCTCTGCTTTAGATGTCTGAAGTATCGAAGCAAGAAACACGGTTGCAAACGAATATGCTGCGGCACCGACGGATGCACACGTTGTCATCACAACCTCCTTCACTTTACTAAGAAAGAAAAAGAAGACGGCGAGCCAAGAACAGAAAAAGTAGCGAGCACCTGGACTACTGCGGGCCGGAGTACCTATTTAAAAATGGTACCGATACGAGTATGCGGGCCGAAACGCAACGTGAATACTTTCGCTCTCCTAGACGACGGGTCCACAGTCACACTCGTCGACGCCGACTTAGCAACAGAGACAGGAGTCAAGGGCCCAATCGAACCGCTGCACATCGAAGCCATCGCCAACGAACAAATGAGCTCACCTACATCGCAACGCGTCACTTTACACATTGAGGGAGCGCCGCGCACCGTCAAGATACAAGCCAGAACTATTAAAAACCTGCATATATCACCGCAACGCATCACAGAAAAAGATCTTGACAACTGCAAGCATTTCGACGGACTCATCGACCAACTGCGCTATGACGAAGCTAAGCCAAGAATACTCATAGGCCAGGACAATTGGGAGCTGCTAATAGCATCAGAAACGAGGCGTGGAGCGCCTCACTTACCAGTCGCATCGCTCACTCCACTCGGGTGGGTGCTTCACGGCGCGCGCACTCGTATACTAGGTCAGCGAGTGCACTACGTCAACCATCTCGCCAGTACGGAAGACAACATAGACGCGCAACTCAAGCAGTACTTCTCCATCGAGTCACTCACCACAGCACCAAGAAGACCGACTAGCGACCCAGAACAGCGTGCACTCGATTTACTCAATGCACGTACCACACAGTTACCGAACGGGCGTTATGAAACAGGCCTATTGTGGCGCGATGAAGACATAGACATGAAAAATAATTACGAGAACGCATACAAGAGGCTGCTCTCAATAGAAAAGAAGATAGATCGTGATCCACAACTACAACAGAAGTATGAAGAGCAGATGGAAGCACTTATCACCAAGGGCTACGCAGAAATAGCACCTGCACAGAAACACAGAAAAAAGACGTGGTACTTGCCTCATTTCTCCGTAATCAATCCAATGAAGCCTGGAAAAGTGCGAGTGGTACACGACGCAGCTGCCAAGACTAAGGGTATCTCACTCAACGACCACCTCCTCACCGGACCCGACCTGCTACAGTCGCTGCCCGGCGTGCTCATGCGACTGCGTCAGCACCGCACAGCGACGCGCGACGTGCCAGTACCCTTCGACGCATCACATCGCTGGTTTCAAGGGCCGTCTTTTCTCCGCGACGACCCCTCAACATGGCCCACAGTGCAACTCACGAAGACAGAAAACACAGGCGAGGAGAAGTCATACTTCACACAGCACAGAAAAGACACTCCTAGTCTCATCGAAGCGCTCCCCGACGTCAACCGATTTTCAAAATGGGAACGCCTATTACGCGCCGCAGCGCGTATACTGCAATTCATAGCCCTCTGCCGCAAGAAGAAAGAAAAAACAAACTACAAACGAACAGCCAAGAAGACAGAAACTGATCCTAATTGGAGCCGCAAGCACAAACACACATCCGTACAACGTCCACCGCCACAACTACGCCGCGCTACTACACAGAAGACACAGTACAAACAGTTAGACGCGGCCACAATAGAAGCGGCGGAACATTTAATCATACGCGCCAGTCAACAGCACAGTTTCAAAGAAGAAATTAAGGCGCTAAACAACGCTCAACTAGTAGCGACAGATAGCCGCCTGCGCCCCCTAGCGGTGGAGATAATAAACGGAACCATCGTGCTACAGACTCGCATCGGCAGCGCCACCGACATCGCCGCGCGCACAAAGAAGCCAGCGATCATTGACGGCGATCATCACGTTACACGGCTGTACATTGACTACGTGCACCGTCAGCTTCACCACTCTAACGTAGAAACAACCGTTAATGAGTGCCGCCAGCACTACTGGGTACTCAGACTGCGCCCGACAGCTCGAATGGTCATTCATCGCTGCCTACTCTGTCGTATAAGAAGGATGAAGCCACCGCAGCCACAAACGGGAAATCACCTACCCAACAGACTGGCGCACCATCAGCGTCCGTTCAGCTTCACCGGCATCGACTACTTCGGACCTCTAACTGTCACAATTGGCCGAGGTACGCAAAAACGATATGGAGTCCTGTTCACCTGTCTCACGACGCGCGCAGTACACCTGGAGATCGCCGCCTCTCTCACCACTGACTCGGCCGTTATGGCATTACGTCGGATGATCGCACGGCGCGGGTGCCCTACAGAAATATGGTCCGACAACGGCACCAACTTACAAGGTGCTGACAAGGAGCTGCGACGGTCCATCGACCAAGCTACAGAAGAAGAGGCGTCAAAGAAGAAAATCAACTGGCGTTTTATTCCTCCCGGCGCACCATTCATGGGTGGAGCGTGGGAGCGCCTCGTCCGCAGCGTCAAAACAGCACTCAGCGTCACATTACAGCAGAGGAGTCCTCGCCACGCTACTCGCCGAAGTAGAATATACAGTCAATAGCCGACCGCTCACGCACGTCTCGGTCGATCCAGGGGATCCCGAGTCCATTACGCCCAATCACTTCATACTGGGCGGGTCGGCGCGTACGCCAACTCCTGGCAAGTTCGACGACAACGACCTCATCGGGAGAACCCACTGGAGAGCATCACAACGCCTCGCCGACATATTCTGGATGAGATGGGTGCGCGAATACCTACCCGACCTTCAACACCGGCGGGAGCCTCACGGCAAGGGTCCGGCGCTCAAGCTAGGCGATATTGTACTTGTCGTCGACAATACGCTGCCCCGCAACACATGGCCGCGCGGCACCATAACAGGAGTCTACCCCGGAACAGACGGCGTGGTACGAGCAGCAGACGTGAGGACGAGAGGAGGAACCCTACGCAGACCGGTCAAGAAGCTGGTGATTCTACCGATCGAGCCGACCGCCCTTCCACAGCAATAGAAGAATGCGTTGCCTTGGACGCGGACAACGCACGGCGGGAGAATGTACGGGACGGCCGCTTGTAATAAATTAAAATAGTTTTAAGTACAT